TCTGTAAACCGCTTAGAGAGGGCTGAAAGCCCTATGAAGCGGTATATAAGTCTAACTGCTATTGCTAACACCGCCAAAATCATAGAAGCCAAGAGTAGAGATCCTATAGAACACCAAGGACATGACAAAGGCGGTCATCTGCTCACAAAAAGTAGGACCTCGGCTTTTTCCAACCCAGGATCCTCAGGATGTACAATAATTTTCAACTAGCGAGGCCAATAATAATGCTGGCTGGGAATTATGGGAGATGCAATGCAAGGTATCTGGCAGGCACAGACGAGGGAATTTGCCAATCATTTGACGAGCATATATCAACCACTCAGGCGAGGATAGACATTTAAAAAGGAGGACGCTAGCTGAGTTGGCAAAGTGTTCAAGGAAGAGATCAGAAAAAATGACTTGAGATTTTTCTGGTTCAAATCAGAATGTGAGGAGCCAAACCTCTCCCCCAAATTAAATGGCATACAAAAGAGTTAAACGCTTCTCTGACTTCCTGTGACACAGCGGTAAGCTCGAATTGGCTTTGTTTCCTTTGGGAGAGGCTTAAATGCCAATTCGGCAGAATCTCTGACTCATAAGCTTGTAACGATATTATTATAAAACTGCAAAGAACAAAGAAGACAGAATTAAAAAAAACACCTTTTAATGGAAGGAACAGGATATTTGGCCACAACTGTCTGCCTCGAAAGCCCACTTTGCTTTTTTTTTTTTATAGATAGTTATTGATGAAGGGTAACAAATCTCTTAGGGATTGCAGAACTGTCACTATCAGCCCAGTAAAATGTCATTTTTTCACTTCCATGGGGGGAAGCGTCAGCATCACTATCCATGAAGTGCAACAGCTGAGTGAGAGAGGACTATTTGCAGCTTTAGATTCCCCCATGCTTTATTATTCTTACTGTGGATTTCAGAGCACTCGCTGGCTGGGGAATTCTGGGAGTTGAAGTCCAGACCTCTTCAAGTTGACAAGGTTGAGAAACACTGCTTTAGCCACTTGGCCTGGAAAAGGCTAGCCATCGCTGCCTTTTATCATTCCAGACAAATGGTTGTCCTGATAAACAGTCTGAAAAACAACCTTACTGAGCCCCGAGAAAGAAATTGACACAGCTGAAGAATACCAGATTAGAAAAAGTTGCAAAAGTCCACTTCGAAAGAAAAGTAAAACATTTCCTAAGAACTTCAATGTGGGGACTTGGGAGTGGTTTGGCTTGGAACCTTAAGTATCGGAGACAGAAAAAAATGTTACTTGGCATCTTAAGGGAAATGCAGCCATGGGACAACATTATTATCTCATCAGAGACATCCTGAGCAAAAAGGTGCGAAGATATCCCTGTTTGGACTTGCTTATAAAAACATTTGGTAAATCTATTCAATGAATAACAATAGGACTGAGAAGGTTTTGTTATTGGAGAGACATAGGCTGATAGATGGAAGAATACAATTTAAAATTAGCTAAATCTAATTATTCTTATTTGTAATAGATATAGCTGAATAATAATTGATATTGATGTATATAATGTGGAGTTGATATGATAAATAATAATTGGATATGAGAAAGGAAGGTTGGAAATACTTTTGGACTATATATAAAGGTTATTAATTACAATAATTACCACTATTAAAAAATAATTTGTATTTGTATTTGTA